GATGATTGGTAAATTAAATAATGATAACATACAAACAAAAATGATGCGATAATAATATAAAATAATTGGATAAAAATATAAATTAATGCTATTGGATAAAAAAAATAAAAAAATAGAAAAGTAAAAATAAAAGAAAAAGTTTTAAATGAACATTACTGCGCTTAAAATATAATGTGATATAACTGATGAAAGGTAGAATGATAACAATATATATTTTGATTATATTCTGGATAAATAAAAAAAAAATCCTGTCTAACTTGACTATATATTCTGACTCTATTCTGGAAAAAATAAAAAAAGATCCCATCTAACTTGCATATATATTCTGATTATATTTCAGAAAGTATTAGATATTTTTCTGAAAATTTATTAACAAAATTATTGAACTTTCAAATTTAAATCAGATATTAGAAATCAGAAAAAAATCCAGAAATTTTCAGACTCAAAAATCAGGAATTTTCTGAATCAAAAATAGTCCATTTTTTTACAGGACTAATAAATGAAAAAGGGATAAAGAATCGAAAAAGCAAAAAAAAAATTCATTTAAAACAGCTCAAAGAGCAATTCAAAGTGCTTGTATCTTTTTTAAAAATAGAAAAACAAAAAAAGAAGACTATTAATGGAAAAAAAGATGATGCAGCAAATAAAAAGAGTGAAAAAGCAATTGGGAGATATAATCAATGATGAAGAGGATAAGACAGCAGAAGTGGAGAATGAGACAGCAGAAGTGGAGAATGAGACAGCAGAAGTGGAGAATAAGTTCAATAAAGAGGAGAGTGTGATTGAAAGTAAGAAGAATGAGACTACAGATAAAAATAATAAAAAAGAAAGTGAAGCTGAAGATGTATGAAATGATAACAAAAATAAATGATATAAGAAAGAAGAAAATATCAATTTGGAAGGTATAATACAACATCAATTTGGAAAATGTTTTTATAAATAAAATAAAATATTATATTTTTCTATATTTTCTAAATAATTTATGCTTCTGAAAAATAAAATAGTATAATTTCAACATGTTATGCTTTTGTATATTATAAATAATTTTAAATTATATATTAATTACTAGAAACTGCAAAATTAACTTAGTTTTGAATTTAGCTAAAAAAGACTAGAAATTATCAATTAAAGACAAATACAAATCTGGTATATATTTTAACTATTAAAGTTTGTTATTTTTGACTAAATTTTAATTATATAAGATTTGTACTTGATACACTCTTTTATTTTTCTTGAATTTATACAAAGTTTGATTATTCTTTATTCATTCTTTAACAGGCTCTTTATTCAAAAATCTGGTGTGAATTTTTATGAATTCACCTAAAAGTTTGATTCTGATTCTAGTTTATATTTAATTCAAATATTGCACTCAAATAAAGTTTGGTTCAAATATTGAATCTTACTTGAACTCAAATGAAAGTTCAGTTTAAGTTCAATTCAAACATTGAATCTTACTCAAACTTAAATAGAAGTTCAGTTCAAATTTGATTCAAATATTGAATCTTACTCAAATTCTAATGAAAGTCTGGTTCGAGTTTAGTTCAAATATCAAACCTTTCTCAAACTTAAATGAAAGTCTGATTCAAGTTTAGTTCAAACATTGAATCTTACTTGAACTCTAAAGAAAATCTGATTTGAGTTCAGTTCAAATTTTGAATCAAACTCAAATCTCTATAAAAGTCCAGTCTAGTTCAGTTCAAAAAAATATTATACAACTCCTAATCTGAGTTCAGAGATATCTGTGAATAAGATGAATAGTTTTGAAAAATTTGAATATATAATAATGGGTGATGAAATAAAATATTGTTTTAGTATATCGAATACTTTTTGTTGTTTTTTCATTTAATTATATGATTGATTTTTCTTAAATAATTTATGAAGTGACACTACTATTTTTGTGAAGTCTTTAATAAAATATTTGTAGTATGAAATAAATTCAACAAAATCACATAATAATGTAAGATTTGTGAAAACAGGAAATTCTTTGACTTTTTCAATTTTTGCTGGATCCAGTCAAATACCTTCTTTTTCAATGATGTAACTAACCTAAGAATGAAAATTAATCTTTAATAAAGTGATATTTGTCTGGTTGTAATTATAATTCAATATGTCAAAGTTTGTTTAGAGCTTTTCAAATGTATTAAAGATGTTTTTCAAATATTTTTGAATATATAGTGATGTTATTTAAGTAAATAACAATGAATTTTTTAGTGTATTCTTTAAATATTTAATTCATTAATCTTTGAAAAGTGACAGGATTATTGGTTAAGCTGAATAATATGACATTAAATTGAAATAGTTCTTGATTTGTAATGAATGTTGTTTTCTCTTTGTCTTTCAGATGCATTTCAACTTGTCAAAAATCATTTGCAAGATTTATTGTGATAAAGTATTTAGTATTCTTAAATGAGTTCAATAATTTATCAATTCTTGGGAGAGGGTACTGTTCTTGTTAATTCAAGAATTGTTGAAATTAATGAATTAACAAAGTAACATAATAATGAAAGAACAAAGACTAAATAAATTATAATTAATAGAGTTTACTAAAGATTCTAAAGATTTTCTGTGATAGCTTGTACACAAACTAACTATTTATTATTAATAAAGAATAAAAATGAACAGAAAAATAAAGTAAAAATATAAAAAAAATTAAAGAAATTAACAAATAGTTTCAAAGTGAATAACAGAACTTATTGATAATATCTAATAAAATAAAATAACAATTAGATTTATTGAGAGTGTCAATTATAAAACATAAACAAAAATAACTAAAAAATAATCAAACAAAACTTATTAAGACTGTCTAATAGTAATAAAACTAAAATAACCAAAAGTAATAATGTTAATGACTTATTTAGAGTGGAGGAGCATCTACTACTTGTAATTTCAAAATTTGAAGATAATTCACGAAAATAATAGTGTATTTACAAGTAAGATATTACTAGTAAGAACTTTGTTATTTATTAGATAAAAGGATTAGAATATGAGAGTTTCTAGCAACAAGAAACTCTTCTTTATATATTTTATACGATTTATATAACTAATAACTGTTCTAAACTATATTATAATTTACATATAATACTAACAATACAAAAGAATTATAAACATCAAAAAATTATACAAATTTATTAACAAGAAAATACAAAAGAAAATTAGTTGTAATTTTAGTAATAATATCTATCAATATTGAATTACAACCAACTGATCAATCAAATTTGACTATAGAAACTGAAATTTTGCATTGTGCTTGTGCAATAATTGATAAATTGAAAATCAATCATAAAATAGCACTTCAAAATATTCAAAAGTCTCAAGTTAAACAGAAAGAACATTATGATAAAAACAAACAAAGTTCAAAAATCTTTTCAAATTGGTAACAAAGTTCTTATAAAACATATGGAAACTCAACACTGGCATCATAATAAGTTTGAAGAAAAATGGAAAGATCTATACTATATTCATAATATTTTCAACAAAAATACTTATAAACTTCATTCGATGAAAGGCAAAGTTCTCAAAAATTCATATAATGAAGATTATTTCAAACTCTATAATGAACAATCAACACTTGAATCTATTATAATTATTAATTAATTTTGTGGAGCAAAATTCTCAAGTGAAGGATCCTGATATTATTTTATCTTTTATCAATTTTATTATGTTATATTTTTAGCATAATAATATTCATTTAAACTCTTTTTTTTATTTTTACTTTTCTATATTTCTTATATTTTTATCCAATAGCAATAATTCATATTTTTATCCAATTATTTTATATTATTATTATATTATTTTAGTTTAGATTTTATCCTCATTTAATTAATTTATAGTAATTTCACATTGTTACCGTTTTTATTGATGTTAAGTTCTTGATGTATTAATCACATGTTTTATTGAAATAAGAGCGAAAAAGATTAAGTTCTTAAATGGGAGAGACTAAGTTTTATCACTAAAGGTAGGTAATGTGTGTTCTTGTTGTGACGAGCTAGAATGACGTCTAATAACTTTACTAAGTTTTGTATATTATTTAGGATTTTCAAAGGTGATAATACAAGTAATAAGTTTTATCAAGCGACTGTCTTTCAAG